TGGGGCATTGAGGATTAAATATTTTAAATGTATTTTATGCTAGTTGTTCTAACTCTAAGCTGTCAGGATGTTATCTTTGCTTATATTAATATCTATGAGTCCACCTCAAACTATAGACTTCAGGTCAGATTTTTAAGAAAAGGATGCACTGAGTCCATTTATCAATGTTAATAATGGTGACTGCGGAAGTTTATCTGCATTTTACTGATTCGGCTTATAACTAAAGGAATACAGAAATCAAATATTATAAGTAATGCACCGGAGCTGTAGCTCATGCATAGAGCCAAGAGATTTCTGCAAGCAGCAGCAATTTTCTCTCCATTTCCTCCACAGTCACGCACCATCCCTGATCTCCATTTCTGCTGGCTGCATACTTAGACTGAATATGAAAAGCCACGGTGGTGCTACATAATTCAAGCAGGAAACCTTCATTATTCTGAGGTAATGCACTTTGTGCCTTGATGCTGCACCTGCTCATTAGATTACAGCATAAACGATTCACCAACAGATGGGGAAGATTGTCAGCCTGTAATTCTACGAGGAGACAAGTGTATTTAGCAAGAAATGGCATCAGAGCTGTTAATTATTACATCTCTTTTGTTCTAGGAAAAATTGTTCATCATATTCATGTATCAGAAAAATCAAAGGACTTAATTCTATCTGCATTATGTCTCATGACCACAAGATGGCAAACTTACATCTCCATATCAACTTTTAGCATGTGCAGAACACTTTACATCACTGACTCCAAAGCTCTGAAATGTCCTCTTTATTAATTAAGCATGATGATGATGATGGATTAAGCTTCGTCTTTTCTGTCCTCATCATGCAGGAGTAAATGTCCAATGACTCACACTGGGCAGGAGATATTCACATACAATGCTTAGAAAAACAGCGGCCGAGGGGAAATCTGGAATTAATCTAGAATCTGATGCAATACTGAAAAGCAGGCAAGAAGAAGATATTACAGAGACGTGATCTATGCAACTTTTTTCAGTTCAACAGCTTTAGGTAAGGAAATGAAATGCAGCTGGATTTTTAGCAGGATTAAAAGGGATCCCAATCTAACCTCAATTTTACAAAAAACACAAAAAAACCCTGAAAGATGAAGCCTGAGTGAAAAAGGCGTTAATGGAGAAAACTCTCTTTAATCATATTTTTTCTTAGTGACTTTATCTCACATCATTTTTGCATCACTCCACCATAATGCTTGATATTTTTTAATAATATAGGATGGTTGCAAGCAGTCTTTAAATCTGTAGATGATCCGATCATCAACATGAATTCTTCTCTCATCACTTTCTTTATACAGATATTATTAACTGTCACTATTAAGGGGTTTTCACTCAGATGTCAATACTACCTAACTTCTCTGGCCTTTATGGTTAGACTGACACGAGTGTCGACACAAAGAAAAACAGTATCTATCAGGAATTTCAGAGCTTATGACAAAGTCAAAGTCTTTGACAAAGGCGATATTAACAGCAAAAGAGATACTTATCTGTCATAAATCTTTACATCTTGTTAAAAAAGGTTCAATTTTTTTAGGAGGAGCAGGATAGAAACTGAGGACGAATAGGATTCTTGTACAGTTTGGAAAAAAATAGTATTTTGTATCAATAAAAGGTTTATAACATTTATGATAAAGGTAACAAAATACATCTTTTGTATTTTCTCATTTGTTCAGGAAAGAAGCTGTTCACACCTACTTGCCCAGTGGGAAATCTATTTACCCCATAAACCTCGTAATGACTTGTGCCCAACTTGGCAGCAAAATCTGCCTTCAGAAGTATTCAGGAACTGATGGAGAGGCTTTTAAATGTTTGTGGATAAAGTTTGGTCCTTCCTCCTTTACAGAACAGTTTTAATTCAGCCTCATTGATTGGGTCGTTCTAAAGTCTGATAGTGGTATCTAAGTCCAAGCTTTGGTTAGACTCTTCTAAAAACTTCTGAGCCAATCAGTGGTGGACTCTTGGGTTTGTTTTAGATGCTGTTCTGATGGATAATCCCTATAGAGGATTCACGAATGTGTCCATCATAGAAGTTATTCTGACTGTGAAACAGCCAAACCGCTAAATGACCATGTTCTACTGCCAGTATGATCTTCTTTTTCTGAGACATTATGTTGATTTGATATCCAGTATAAGTGAATGCACCCCTTCCAGACAGTTCTATGCTTTCTTCATCAGTCTACAGCAAAACATCAGTCTTAAGGAGGGATGTTCTGGTTCTTTTCTGACCTTCTATCACTGTCTTCAGTTCCGGGTGCGGCTCATGGAATTTTTAACCAAATACTTTTAATATTACTGAATACAGTTAATTTTCCTTAAATGATTGGCTTTTACTTTATAAAATAAACTTTCATAGAGTATTTTTGTCATGAATTACATATTACATATTGAATTACGTAATATTCTTTATGTATAACGTATGTTGATAATGAAGTGACTGGAATGGTGTGGATGGCTTAATTTATAATATTATTTCTTCCTAATTCTTTGAGCGTATAAATACTGAATGGCAGGTAATATTGCTGCTAGATTTATTTAAAATTCTTAAGTTAACACGGATGTGGTTAATTACAATAGATTGGTGATTGAAATGGAGAAAATGTAGTTTTGAAAGAGTTTAAAAGCTTAACTGAACTACTCAGTTTTTTTATCTCTTTGTGCTAAACAGCAATTAAGCAATTTATTTTAGATATTTTTTTCTTTTTTTAATTTTTTATATATATAAAGAAGTAGAAAATAAATAAATAAGTAATGAAAAGGTCTTATAGCCAAAGTACTGCGAACAAAAGAGGTAATTTTCTTTGATAACTAGAGTTTTCCCTTCTTCTATTTAACAAATTATTCTTCCTTATTTATAAAAAAAAAATAAATAAATAAAAAGTTGATTCCTAACTTTAGTTAACCCTGTGGCTCACATGTTTGCAAGGTTTGCTCAGCCTTATGCCTCACTACCAGAAAAAATAGTAAACTTCATCTTTTTAACTTTACTGAATAAAAATCCAAAGTACTTCACAAAGCAGCACAAACACCAGAACACAAATAAATCAAAGGTTCTGTCAAGTTGAAACAGAGGATTTTCAACATCTCTGATTAAACATTTACAGAGGAGAGTCTGTGCTGTACATTCAAATAAGCATGATTATGAATAAATAACTTAAGATGTTGCAAATTTACAGACAAACGTGCTTCTTTTTTTTCTTTTTTTTATATGAAGCTTTTTGTGTGCAGATAGTTTGGAGTTCTTATAGGGAGTAAAGGGAGAACATTAATACCTCTCCCTCTTAGCTTTCCATAACACACCACAGACACCTGTCACTGTTTTCTGATAGAGGCACAGGGTGGTCCAGACTGTCTGACAGCCCATTTCTGCAACAGACAGCCAGGATGGATTCTGTGAGGACCTCCTGGGATCAGCTCATTCCCATCTCTATATTGTGTGACCCACTTATCTGACAGCAGCCCTGCTAAAACATCCACTGCAGATGAGTGGTTCCCTCACAGGGCATCAAGAAAAAACACAAGAGATGGAAAGACATCCATTTATCCTTAATGCTGTCAGGTTAGTTCAACTGTAACATTTTAAGGTCTAAACAACAAATTTTGGAAGGAAATTCAACTGCTTCTGAAGATGCTCCTGGCCTTCAGTAAATTATTAGTCTATTAATCATGTAGTTATAAAAATAAATAAATACATAGAACTTTATAGCTAACAGCAACTTACAATCATCTTCATTGTTATTCCTTGTTTTACGAGGTCAAAAATAATGAAAAATTGAGAATAAAGAATATTTGATCTTATGAGTAAACTCAATAAAAAGTCAAAAGTGCATCATCCATCCATCTTCTTACACGCCTGTCCCGAGTGGGGTCGCGAGGGGTGCTGGTGCCCATCTCCAGCAGTCAATGGGCGAGAGGCCATTGACTGCACAGGGCACCAGCACAGGGCAACACAGGACAAACAACTATTCATGCACACACTCACACTTGAGGACAATTTAGAGAAGCCAATCAACCTAACATTCATGTTTTTGAACTGTGGGAGGAAGCCGGAGTACCCAGAGAGAACCCACGCTTGCTCAGGGAGAACATGCAAACTCCATGCAGAAAGACCCCGGGCTGAGAATCGAACCCAGAACCTTCTTGCTGCAAGGCAGCAATGCGCCACTGAGCAGCCCCAAAAGTTCATCATGTTAAACCTAAATTAATATTATAAAAGAGAAAACACAACTCCCTTCAGAGTGATATGGAATTTCTAAGAGACATTAGTACAAAAAAAAAGTATATTTAAGTAGTTTGCCAACCTGAGAAATCCACATGTACCTCATACACAATAAAAGTATTACTGGTTTATATCTGTGGTTTTATTGTTGTGGCTGATTTGTTTTATTATGTGTTATGTTATTGCCCTACCTGTTGCAGGAGCGCGTTTCTGTCACACATATTGAATTAGGATTAGTGACAAAGAAGTGCTGCTCAGAGTAAAAGAAAACAGGAAATCTGACTGCTGGATTTGGGGGAACATTTTTGAAGAATACATTTTAAATCAGCAAATTAGTGGTGAACAAAGAACAAGACACAGAGGTCCTGTACATTTTTTATGAGAAAATTCCAATTTTTGTTGAGTTTCCAGTTTAATTTTGATTTATATTTTATATATAAATATATTTTTATAGATAGATAGATAGATAGATAGATAGATAGATAGATAGATAGATAGATAGATAGATAGATAGATAGATAGATAGATAGATAGATAGATAGATAGATAGATAGATAGATAGATAGATAGATAGATAGATAGATAGATAGATAGATAGATAGATAGATAGATATTTTGCATCGTTCTAAATACTAAAAAGATTTTTCTTTCTTAAAACTTGTCTGTTTTCAAAGAAGGTAATATTGCAGCAGTATCGGACATGACGTGTCCTCCCAAAAGTGACAGAATAAATTCAGAGGTGAGAACATGGAAAGGAAAATGACCCTCACCTCTGCACCATGGGACAGATTCCTTTTCCTGAGGGCCGGCGAGGGCTCGTCTGATTGCAGGGGAGTCAGACCTCCGTTCTTCAGCGTCTCGTCTGAGGGCGACTTTGGTACAGTCCACACAGGAACACCATCTGAAACAAAGAAGCATCGGAGCCACCTGTTAACTTTTAGATCACAAAAGCAGCTAAGAAATTCATTGGTGGTTTTGTTTGGATTGAATCAGAGGCGAAGGAGAAATCAAATATCACTATCTTCCATTTAGATCTGACATTCAGTATTAAAAAGGTGTGGGATGACTTATGGAGCTGAGAAACCAGGAAATTACGTGCAAGATTGTTTGCTTCTCTTTATAGATTAGACTTAGTGCCACATCAAAGTTAGTCATTAAAACTGAACAAAATAACTATAATCCTGACCCCAGCTTACACAAAAGGAACTTGGGTACCTTGTATTTTGTTCACTTAACAACCAAAAACATTTCCTATTTAATACACTGATTGATAATTGATGTATAAAAGTCAAGCAAAGAAAAATAGAAATATGGGTTTACAAAAAATAATGCAGTGTCAATTACTCTGACATGGATAAATATATCCCAGTGCAATCAGATGCCTTTGGATGTCTGTTATTGATAAACCAATCAACCACTTTAATTCAGTCTCAGTATAAATGGTGGTGTACTGGAAGACCTCTTAGAGAAGGTTTCTTAGAGAACATTTATGAACAAGCAGCATCATACTGTAGAAAGCAATAAACACAGCAGACAGGAATAAACCCAAATGGAAAGTTTAAAGATAGGTTCAATTTAAAAAGATGTCAAAGCTAGTTTTAAACATCCGACAGTGAACTGTTCAATCCATCATTTCAAATTTCCAAGACAGGACCTGAACAAGGACAACATAAATAAAAGAAAGCAGTGAATAAGCCAATGAAAACTCTAAGGAAAGCTTCCGAGAGCTGCAGCTCAGGTGGGATGAGCTGTTGGCAGGACGTCTGATATTAATGTGCTTCAAAAGGATGACTATATTATTGCCACAAAGAGAACCTTTGATGAAAAGAAGCTACAAAAAGTTCCAGGCCCTTACATGCCACTAGCTATGTAAGGGACTGGGTTTAGCATTGAATAACGAAAAAGGGCAGCATCATGCTGTGGGGAAAGGAGGTCAGAGTGCCAAGGACAGAGGCATCCTGGAATGTGTCGAAACAGTTCTGCAAAAGATGGCTTTGGGACAAAGGTGTACCCACAAGCAAGACAAGAAAATTCAGCCAGAGATAAGATCAAAGGATTTGCATATGTTAAAATGGTCTAGTCAAAGTCCGTACGTCATACAAGAATCTGCTGTAAGACGTAAACACGTTACTGTTCACACCTTTAGCTGTAGCTATTTAAATAAGAAGAACAAGTAAAACCAACGGAATACTAGCATGGACTCATGTGAAGAAACACAGACAAAACTTAAGTGTTTTTCTGCAAATACAGAAGCTTCCATTTGTATTGTGATCAAATGCACAAAAAAAAAAAATGAAAGGGTATGACATCTTTTGCAAGGCTTAGTAATTCATCTAACAGACGTGTGACTAGAACTTAAAGATACAGAAGTTATCTTCTAAAAAGTGAAATGTTTAAAATAGCAGTTATGGAAGCGTTTTAAATAAAGCCTGGATTGGAAGAAAAGGCTTCAGTGATGTAGAAGCAGCAGAGTGCAACAGCAGCAGAGGCAAAGGGGATCTAAAAAACGAGGTGACCTTTAAAATGTCATAACATGAAAACAAAGATGCTTATGTCAACGCTTAAAAAGGGTTATTAATAAATGTAAGCCCCAACAGACAAGGTAAGTTTTAAAAATAAAAATTGACACTATGAAGTAACATCTAGAAGAAAATAAAAAAACAATAAATACAATTTTTTTCTTATTCAGTAAGAAATTCTTATACCCAACATCCCCACCTTTAATGATCGTACACATGCTCATATTCATGCTACTTTTAGACCAGCTGCACCACAGCAGATGCCTCCCACAGCTCTATCTGTCTGGAGCCTTTTTGGATTTCAGATTTAATTGCTTGTGCGTTATAACAAAAGCCTGTGTTGCACTTGCACACAGTCCTTTGTTAAAGGACTTCCTAATTTTCTATATATGGGTAATGTAGCAGACATAGTTCTGCATCAGTAGTGCTTTCTGTAATCATAGACCAGCCATTTGTTAAGGTGGAAAGTGCATTTTCTTTGTTTATTGATAGAATAAGACTAACTATATAGGAAGGGGAACAGTTGTTGAAATGTTATAGTTTAGTATTGTTTTTATTCTCCTCATTAATGCAAATGCATTGTTGAGTTAAATAGACCAGCACACAAGATTGAGAAGTGTTGCATTACATGAATTAAAAAATATTGATGTGATAATAAAAGAGTCCTTGATGTTACTCTACCTTAATACACCTGCATCCCATAATTAGATCAGTAACAATGCTGACTACATGATTACAGTACAGTAGGTGCTACTTCAGACATGTGACTCTGGTGTGTTGGACTGTTGGCAGCATCCCAATTCATCCCATAAATAAAGAAATAACAGCTCCATGTAAAGTGCACAGGATTGGATCTCTGATTTCAAATCGCCGATATCCGATCCAGCAAATAGTCAATATGGTGGAAGATATCCGATACAGGTATCACATCGGTTAATCTCTACTCACAACTACATTTTCTGTTGGATCAGATGCAAAATCATGTTTTGTGCTCAGGGTATAAGACCCTATCATGGGAAGGAAAGGAATGCCATTTCTATACAGCCTTTAACTGTTTGACGTGAAGAAACATACATGGAAGATGCCAGTGGGGTCACTAGGCCAATTTTAAGGGGGGCTGAAGCCTCCAAAAAATATTCTGAAGCCTCCCCAAATAATTTGTTTCTTTAATTTAATTACATTTCTCTAATTTCATGTTTTTAAAAATAACTGCAAAAGAAAACACAACCTTTAACATTTAACCTGTAGATTCACACTGAAGGCATCAAAAATATGAATTAACACATGTGGAATTATATACTTAACAAAAAAGTGAGAAAGTGAAGAGATTCTTCAAAAGTAGCCACCTTTGGCTTTGATTGCTGCTTCGTGGACTTTGGCATGAAAATAAAGAAAACTCTTTGAATGAGAAGGTGTATCCAAACTTTTGGTCTGTTCAGTAACTATGATCAAACAAGTTTATATGTTTTAAGATGCAAAAATATTTTGGAAATCAGTTCCTAAATGTTTTAAAAACTCAAGACTCTTTCTAAGGGGTTATTAAGTAAGCTAGTACTGCCCTAAAGCAGGTGACAGCAAGCATAACACATGAAGATGGTGATACACAAAAGAACACCGGAAGAACGCTGCAACTGAAACTAGACTCATTAGACGAGAACATTTTTTTCATATCTATTATTTGCTTATTTGGATGAACAGCAGCCTTGGTTTCCCATTCTTAGCAAACAGAAGAGTCACATAATTATGGTTTCCTCCTGCTGTAGCATGCACACTTTCTGGCATATATGTGCTGAGCTACGGTTTCAGCCAGTCATGAAACTCGCCTTTCTCACCGCGGTTCTTTGAAAATGGCCGAGGGTCGTAAGAGAAACACTGTCTATGAAGTGTATGAGAAGAAAAGAAAGGCCTCAGAAGAGAGAAACATGACCGGAGTGTTTTTGGGAGATTATTTCACATGATGGTGTACACTGAAAGCACAGCTCTGGCTTCTCACTGATGCCTGGCACATTTCTATTCGGCAGGTAAAGTTTTGCATGCTATTTGAAGAAATGCATTTCACATCACTGCTAGTAAAACAAGGAGAAATGGGTTTGTGAATGCTCTCACACTCTTTTAATAGGTACAGGGTTGTGCTTGTCAGGGCTGTCAACTTTCACCCATTGGGGGAGAGACTAACGCATTTCAGTGTCTTCACAAGCTCACACTCCATGTCCCCAATTTTTCACACAAAAAAATTATGGACATTGAAGCTCAAGTCCATTCCACTCCATATATAAAAATACCATGCTGATAAAAATCCAGCCCACATTTTCATAATAACCTTAGTGCACCAGCCCACCTATTCGCTGTGTTGACAGCAGCTGCGCAAGATATTAAAAAAGTCCCTGATTTCTGAGCAGTTATTACAAGGTATGTCATTATAATTTTATCTTATCTGGGCTAAGATAATTCACTTTGTAAATTAATGAAGATTTGAAGCAATCTAGCACTTGAGTAAATATGAATAAAATATACCTATATCAATGTGGAGACTGAGAGTAGGATCACATCAAATGGTTTGCTTTCTCTATAACAAATGCTTATTTTAATGAGCTCTACTCCTTATCTGCTCAAATTTAGCCATCTGATTTAGTCACAATTTAAATCCATGTTTTGCTCACAAGTTAAATAATTATTGTTCGGTCTAGTTAAATAATCCCTAGTTGGATTGTAGGACTAATTAACCCAACAAAAATATCTAAATTCTTAAAGCTTTATTTTTACTTATCTTATTCCTTATTTTGGTCCATCAAATAGGTTTAAAAATTTAAATTCCATCACATCTACCAGAATTAAACATCCACAGAAATGCTGTCTTTTAAGTTTTTATAGAATATGCAGCCTCCTAGAAGGTCTGAATTGTCTAGCACACAATTGTGAAACTCTTAGTTTTCAGTATTCATAAGATGCAAGTATTTTAGTAGGGCCCATTCCTCTTTACTTAAATTCTCTAAAAAAATCATCAGAATATAGAAAATAATGAATATTGTGTGAAAAAAATTCCACATAACTACAGATCACCTATTGTTTTTCAGTAACATTTACTTCGTTATAAAAATTCCACATTTTGCCAGTTTGATCAGTTAAATCATCTGAAAACCTCCAACCTACAGCTGCACCTGTCCTCAGAGCCTTTCAGTCTAACCCTGACAAGGGTTGCCTGTCCAAATTCTTTTAAATTCTCACTCCCAGGTTTGGTAAAAGTCTGCAGCCCTGGCATGTGCATTTTTTTTTTAAGTGGAGCGAGTGGGTCTTTTCAAAAATTCCAATGGTAGGAAAAATGTCTATTTGGCATTGTAACTACGCTTCATTAAAAAGAGAGCCTGTTTGTGCTGTCTAGAGATTTTTAGTTCAATAAGTATAGTGACAGACCATTAAGGGTTTATTTATCAAGCTCCTATCTTGTCAGGAAGGCAAAATAAAAATATTAATGTTTTAAAAGATTAAAATCTATTTCTGGTATTGTGAATAAAAGCTGAAATAGATAATTTAAATATAAATCAAAGAAAAATCAAAACAAGTTTTGTTGTTTTAAAAATGAAATATAAAAAGAAAAATAAATCCATGCATCATCCAGACCTATAAAAAAAATATTAAAAAAATTATTCTTGACTATAAAATATAATGTAGGACTTCTGTATAAAACATGGTCGGCTTCTATTTTTTTAAAACTATTTTCTTCGGAGATATTTTGTAATCCTGCTAAATTTTGGATTGGAAATTAAAATACTTGTTATTATACAACATAAAAACTCTCTAACATATTGCCTGCCAATCACAGATTATTTAAAACAGCCTATTTGTAATACAATTGTTTTCTTTCTAATTTAGCTCAAGTTTAGTCTTGGTGTTGAGATCTGGATTTATTCTGGTAAAAATGTAGAAACTTTTAAGTTTTTTCTTCATTAAAGTTAATATTCATAATTAATCATCTTGATTGGGACATCGCCACAAAGCACCAAGATGTGGAGTTAATTGATGAGCAGGAGCTATCCAATGTTATTGTTGGATAGGGGCATGCAAGTGGATGAAAAGCCTGACTAATGAAAGAATGCAATGAAATTGTCATGCACTAAATCTCTCCCATTGTTTTATCATTTATTTCCGGCCAGTGACTTTAGTTCAGAGTTTATAATCCCGTACATACAAGGTTTATTCTTTGTTTGTTTTTTCAAAGAAAGGCTTTCATCAAGAGCAATTTTACTTTGTCTCTTTGTTTAGGTTGCAATGAAGACTATTTGCAAAGTAGATTTCCTTTATGGATTTTCATTTCCTTAAAGGAAAAAAAAAGCTCTGTGCACTGGTAAGAGAGGGGGAGGGTGTGGTATCAAGCTCTTTTTAGCATTGGCAGGAGGGAAAGAGGAGGAATCCAAACGGACTCGAGGGAGCAGCAAAGATCCTCTGCTGCATGACCTTTAAAATCTGCTCTCTGGTTTTTGACTGGCAGGTTTTCTCTTTATTTTTTTTGCTGGGAGTTCAAAAATTTAGTTTTCTGCACTTTGTCACAACTAGAGCTGACTCCAATGGGTTGATTGATGTTGAAGGAGCAACAGGTGATCCAAAGTACCAACGTGCCAGAAAAACTCAGTGCAACCTCATGCTTGGAAATGCTTCCAGCGTGAACCATTCTATCCTGACATCCCTTTATCAGCTGCATGAAGTCAGGATGCAGCCCATGCTGGTGAAACACACCACCAATAACTCGCAAAAGGATCCTAACAAGGTACTCTTCACTGAGGTGTGGAGGGTACATGCCGAAAATGGGGAGCAGCTGGACCCCCACTGGACTCATCAGCAAGGCAGCGGAAGGAAGAAAGAGGTTTGTACTTGCGGCCCGGCGGTCCCACTCCACACAACCCTCTGCAGGGTATGGCAATGTCTGGCGCAAAAAGAAGATCAAGAGACAGTGAGGAGGGGCAAATTCAGTGTGGGAACCGTCCCCCATCTACACACAGATGCAAAATTACCTTCTTAAAGTCAAAGACAAACTGGAACAACCGTCAGGGTTGGAGTTTTAAAACAGAATTCCTGTAAAAAAATTTAGCTCAGATTCTCCATTGGACCATCAACAGAATGAGGATATAACCAAACATTAACATGCCGCAATTGCTTACGATTTATTTTAGAAGCTATACTTAATATTTAGTCAACAAAACACCTAGAATATAAAGCTTTCCCTCCATAATTTACTCATTGCGGGACAATAAAGTGATGTTCGATTCTATTCTAAATGATTGAAAACACAATATCTACCTGAAAAGTCGATATTCACCCCAAAAATTAAGTCCAATTTCTTAATATAACAAACATAGTTTTCAGTTTTGAGTTAATTACTGATATTGAAAGGTGTATGCTCACAATAAGCATGAATGCTTACTTTTGGGCTTAATAGATTCATTTTCTACAGACATTATTCTTAGACCACACATGAACTTCTGGCAAACCCATGTTAAATTCAATCCAATCATAGCCAAAGATATTTATGAGTCTGTTGTTCTTTAGCATCCTGAACACCATAAATAGATTATAAATGTACATCTTTACTCGCAGAAAACAGGATTAGTACTCAAAAATTGATAAATGGCTGTGTCATATAGCTGGATGCTTTTAAGAAGTCCTTCCAGATATCCATCTTAGTTGTGATTGCCAAATAGAACCACCCTCAAGCTTCAGATGGTATAAATCAAAACATCTTTATTAGACCAGGCACAGGGAGGGTAAAACAAGGTGGAGCGCTGACATTTGAGGCAGCAGAATGGATTCTTCAGGCAGAGGTTTAATCTTTTAAGGAGAATTAGAAGCACATAGGTTTTATTTTAAAAATACCAATTTAAATTAGGCCATTTCTATTTCCATACATGCAGCTTAAATTATTTTCAATGGTTCTATGAACAACACTTTCATACACACCTCATTCAAGTTTGAAATTAATAGTGAATATTTGGCCTTTTGAAAGGGACTGATGACAGAAACAAAACCAACAAAACATGACAAACAGACAAAAAACCTAAATACACAAATGGTACAAAGATTTATACACATAAATGCAACATTCAGCAGCATTTACTGCAAACATTTAAGTTCATTGTATTCGTCATGCATGGACACGAGCCACAGTCTAACTGCCCCAACCTGGCTTTTCCATTGTATCTAGGCTCAGGAAGCAAGGACTGAAGAGATAAGGGGGGTGGGGTAGATGGAGTGGTTGGGGGTTCCACTAACAGTACTGGAATGGGTCCCGTGGTGGACTCACCGGACGGGGTTCCACGGTTACGATGGGAGGCATGAGACTGAGGTGGGGCCTGGCTGTTGTGACTCTGAGTCTGCTGCAGGATGTTCAGGCACTCTCCAAGGCAGCTAAGCGTAGCGGCAGATGTGGCTTTAAGGAGCAGCAAGTCCTGGTCCAGACAAGATAGGGGGCCTTTGGTTGGTAGAGAGTCAATGGAGTGGACAAGGTTCTTTTGTTGGCCCTCTGCTTGGGACATCACCTGCAAACAATCAGAACATTGACATTTAAATGCAACCAACATTCATATAAATCTACCACATCAAAAATGTCAGTAAAAGCTTTATGATGTTGAGTGAAGCAGGGAACATTTATCTACAGGTCTATTGGAAACAGTATGGACTTGAAGGTATAATATCTGTACTAACAACAGATTTCTTTCCAGAACGCAAGTTTGAGATATATGTACAGACGCATAGTGGCAGATTTTTTTTTCAGCATTTTTCATGCAGAACATAAGAAAAAGCAAAGAAATTAAATGTTGCAGCTATGACTGGTAAAGTTACCAAACAGCATAAGATTCATTTCCACTGGTTGATTCGATTTAACTGACTTGTTTTGTAAAACTATTTGAGATGTCTTTTTGTAAACTACTGATATTTAAACATCCTATCTTCTTAACACTGTTCCTCCTCAAAAACTGATCATCATTTAAGGCCATTCCAAATATACCCCCTTGCCCTATTTTTCACCCCTACTCTTAAATTCTTTGCTTTTCTGTGAGGGTAGTGGTGTCCCAATTCTTCTGTGCATGTAGGGTTAGTGGACATACGAGGGGTAGGGGTATGAATCTAGCCTTCCAGAAGAATGGATCTCAGAAACTGACTTGCTGAGGAACAGCCAGAGACAATTTCCCAGAATGTTTTACGTAATTTTTCTTAAAGGAAAATTCCGGTTTTTAACACTTTTAGCCCATTTTCTGTAGTGTCCAGGATGAAATCGAATGATCGACACCAAAATTTTGACGATTGGTCCTGTCTCTGCTATTTGGCTCATGCAGAATCCCCCCCTGGCTGCTTCAGAATGGCTTCCATAGTGCATGTCCGATAATGTCCTTAAAACAACCTTAAACGTTCTTTTTTTAAAATATGCTACTCACCGGGTCGTCAGCGCTGTTCAATGACGTTCCAAAAAAAGTTTCGTGAAGAAAAACCGTTCCTGTCTTGTTTTATTTAGCATTTTGTAAATCCCAGAACTATTTTTTCCGATACATCACAACCGCTTATAAACTTCCGCTTCCCGTTCGAATCTGAAGCATTGCACACTCCAGACTACTAGTTGGCGACGGTATCCTCTACCGTCAAACTCAAAGTCCAATATGTCCTCCTCAAGAATCCACCTTTCGTATTCCATTTTCAGAGTTTTTTAAAGTGTTTAACAGAGACGTTAGCACCTCGACGTCGGAGTACACAGAGTGAAGCAGAAACACTTGGGCCTTGCGAAAAGACTACAACTAAGCGTAAACAGGCCCCATTTCCGTTTCCGGTGGCGGAGGGATATTGACTATTCCAACAGAACTCAATGGGATTTACAAAATGCTAAATAAAACACTACAGGAACGTTTTTTCTTTACGAAACTTTTTTTGGAACGTCATTGAACAGCGCTGACGACCCGGTGAGTAGCATATTTAAAAAAAAGAACGTTTAAGGTTGTTTTAAGGACATTATCGGACATGCACTATGGAAGCCATTCTGAAGCAGCCAGGGGGGGATTCTGCATGAGCCAAATAGCAGAGACAGGACCAATTGTCAAAATGTTGGTGTCGATCATTCGATTTCATCCTGGACACTACAGAAAATGGGCTAAAAGTGTTAAAAACCGGAATTTTCCTTTAACAACAATGATTCAACATGAAGGACAGGGATTCTACACAGTGACTCAGAAATTTTTCTTTTTTTTACTTTTGAAAGCAAAAAAAGCTAATGGCTCATCATCCCTGGGTTTATTAGATTATTCTGGACAACAAAGGTAAGGTGAGATAGCTTGCTGGTGCTCAGACATGAGCAGAGGGCAGCTCTGGCAGAGGGAGTACCAGAAATGGGAAAAGGTGGTCAGCTATGCCCCTCTCTGGAACTAACTTGCAATAGATGGAAATCAAAGAGGACAGCAGAAGATCGGACAAGCCTGCTGGACAGGCTGACCACCAGAGGCAGTGGCTGGTCGGTGTCTCTGTTGGAGGTAGGATGATGAAACATTCCTTCTAGGGCAAAATTAAAACAGCTTTTTAAAGCTGAAAATCTCATCCATCCATTCATTTTCTGACACTCTTATCCCTGCTGGGGCTGTGAGGGGTGCTGGCGTCCATCTCCAGCTGTCAGTGGGTGAAAGGCAGTGTAAACCCTGAACAGGTGGCCGAAAAAACAACCATTCAATCACACCTAAGGAGAATTTTACAGAAGCCAGTTAACCTAACAGTGATGTTTTTGAACTATGGGAAACATGGGTGGACTGACTAAGAATCAGCATTTGGCTCCCTTTGGGGAAATAAAAAACATGATTCTATGCTGTTAGAATTGTTGATGTCACCAGTGTGAGAGAAACATGTAAGGAACCCAGGGTATAGTAATCGGGCTTCATTGTTTTGCTCTTTTCTCCCACTGAATCCCTCTCACCAGTGCTGCGGAATGTTTATCAAATGTAAACAGAGTTGTTTCAGCGTGTTAGATCAGACGTGACTGGCGCGATGTGTTGAGATGCATTGTCTTCAATGGTATCACGCAAATTAGCAGGTCAACCCGGGTCTGGTGTTCCACCACCGGTCAGTGAGTGACTGTTCTCACTGCAACTAAAAGGCGATTTCCCCTGGGTTTAAACAGGTTTTTTGGCCAGAGGGAAAGGGGTATTATGGTGGGACGTATCTTACATATGTGCACATGTACGTATATATGCAGTCACTTGTGTAATTAAACATCGACTATGTAGTGAGAGGTGCCCTTGTTCCTGGGGAAGATTATGAAGCCCTACCCCTTATGGCTTCAATTCAAAGGTGCAATGGTAATGAGTAAGGGCAAGTGGGAAACATTGGTATTGGGCCTTACATTCATTTTATCTTCTAAAATCGATTAAAACTACTGTTACTTTTTAAATTTATTTTGGTTGCATTTAAAACATACAGCCACGCTGACTTAAATTAACCAAGCAGTTAATTTCAAAGCAATCTTCAAAACGATTCAACAAATGCATTTTATAGTTTGTGCATTTAGAGATTTAACTCTAAACTTAGTTTGTCTGAAAGTAGAAAAAAAATTGTGTTTGACTTGCTCTGTGAATATTTATGTCTTCAATCTGCTTAAGGCTAAGCTTCAGAGATGAAGTATGGATGGATTATAGTCCTTAGAAGTCACGTTTTGGTTATAGAGGGCATTTACTGTTGACGAGAAAGCAAACTAAATAAATCAGAGCCTTAAGGCGCATTTTTACTGCAGACTCATGAATTGTAGATGTAATCAGTAGTTTGACTGTTGTTTCATTGCGATTCAGTGTGTCATCAAATCCTGGGAATAAAAGCAGTTTGAATTAATAAAATACAGAAGAATAATGCTCCATTTATTTTCAGGGAATAATGTTTAAGCTGATAATGAATTCTAATCTAAATGGAAAGTTTCATACAATAGAGACTGAGTGCGTTACAGCCATACCAATAAAGCTGGAAGCTGTTGAGAGTTTTCCCCCCTGATAAATAAAAAAAAAAAATGTGGCTGTGGTTCCATATCAGTTTTTCTAAGTATAAATCTTTTTGGAAAAAGAAAAGAAATATTTTGATTTTACATTAGTTGGTGGCTTATTAGAACAGCAAATGGCTGCGAGTGCTTTTTTTTTTTTCCTCAGTAACCCTCCCCATAAGTCCTCGCATGTGAGTTAGTTTTGTTTATCGGACTCACCCCAGGACAGTTGTAAGTGGCAGTCAAAGTCACTACTTGCATTATTTAAAGGGAAGGTTTACTATTTGGTGGCTTTATAGATTATGGTGGCATTTGGCTCAAAGTTGAAATAATCTTTAAACAGCAAGTATATCAATACTGAATCAGCACTATAACACAGCCCTAATACACAGTTACCTTTTTGTATTTGCTTTTTAACAGCTGATGCACTAAAGTGTTTCCTCCGTGCACATCTCCAATGAGTGTTGAAAGTTTTTTTGCAGCTTCTTTATGATTTGAGAAGCACAAACTTTGACAGGAGCAGAGCCAACTGCAGGTGTCCTTCTGAGATGTTGGAGCAGTGGTATCTTTGCCACAAATTTTAATATATCAGTGCACTTCTAGTTTATTTTTAAGAAATCAGATTCAAAAACACACTTCTTGTGACATTTTTTTTTTATTTTCATGTGATAATAATGCACTAAACATCCAAGACTTTAAAGCAACAAACTAGTCTGATTGTTGTAGAAGAGGTTGCCTTAAAAATGTGCATATTATACGGTATGTTATGTTATATGTTATTACCTAATAAGAAATAGATTTGTTGAACATGGTAGGAAGACTGTAGCATTGAAATATCAGTATCTGAAAAATATGAACACAGACAGAAGATACCTGGTTGTTGAAGTAAAAAAACAACAAAGCAGATGACTGGAATCAGTTTCTGACGATCATTAACCTAATATGAAAAGGCTGCTCATTAAATAAAGACATATTGTAAATGTCAGGGATTTTCTTTCCACATTTATTACATCTATAATGTTGGTTGTGTGTGGGTGCTGACAAGTGAACAATAAATTTGCTGACATCCTCCCTATCTAGGCTACAGGAAACAAGTCTTAAAACACCAAGACACCACAGTGAGACAAAAGCACTAAAAAAAGAAGCACATAAAAGTTTTCTGAGAAGAAAACTTTCTCAAGAAACACAGATCCCTCCCTGTGAGGATTCTTCTAGTCTGACTCACCTATCAGAGTCTAAATGTATCACAAAAAGGAACGAGACAACACTGGTTCTCCCTGGCAGGTAATAAGCTCCTCCAAGGTCTAATGAATTTAGGTTGTTTATCAGTTTGAAAATATTCTGTTCATTAATATTTCATGGCTTCACAGTCGTTTCATAACACAAACGTTGAACACAAATGTCTTTGTATCACAGCTGTTCCCAGAATAAAAAAACTAGAAAAACTTTGCATAAAGTTTTGGAAAATGTTGAAGATGTTATGTATCATCTAATTTACCCAGGCTAGTTTTCAGATAGAAGTTGGCAAACATTTTCATA